TCCTGGGAGGATACTTGGTTCCTCTTTGCCAGCTCCCCAGACGCGGCGGGACTGTCACACTGCAGGGGCTTGCTGCAGGTTGCGCAGTTGAATTTGGGTTTGCCTCACCATAGGACACCCACAAAAGATGAGCGTTTTCACTTTGGTTTCCTTCAAAGCATTACCCTCAAGAACACTTGCCTTTTTGCACGACATATCCACGTTTTGCAGTCAATCGCAATTTGAAGGAGTTCCAAAGCCTTTCAAACCCGCCCCTATGACAGTTGTCGGAAGAAGAGTGCTTGAAGGCAGTGGTCAAGTGGTTTAGGTTGTGTTTCGGTTGTGCCGCTTTGAAAGACGTAGAAGCCTGTCCAAGCACGTGGCAACCTATCAAGCTATGCGTTTGTTTGGAGTGATGCATAGTTTGAGAAACTTAGCTTTTCTGTCGGCAGGACACTTGATTTTGGCCTGGCTAGTAGGATTTATGATACAAACAAAATGATGGCATGTTTGTTTAAGCTTTTGGATGTCATGCCCAGATAGAGAGAGAGAGAGAGAGAGAGAGAGAGATTTGGTACCCATTGCAAGGCTTTTAGTGCAAAACTCAAAGGTTTGCAGGGCTCCTTAAAAGATACATTTTGCAACCATTTGAAACACGTTGCTTTTTCAAACCAAAATAAAGTTGGAAACCACCATTTACAAGTTGCAATGTTCAGGTGTATAGTAAAGGATCCCTGTTTTGCTCATTTCGTCAGCACGGTACGTCTGAGGATGCTGTGTTGGTGGTTCTCATGGTGCTGGAGACGTGGCTCTTGCTGCCTGGCCGAAAGCGAATCGCTTGAGATCAGATGCCCGATAAGAAGCAGGGGGCCTAGGGCAATATTCATAGGGGGCTGGGGGGGAGGGAGGAGGGGGGGGAGGGAGCCCAAACAAGCCCTAAATCTTGGTGACACAACGGACCTGTGCTTTGTTGTTGGTGCCCCCTTAAACTTGACTGCTATTGGGTTGGATCTTTAGACTTTAACTTTGATTGAAATCAAGTTGGGTTTTCCACTAAACCCCCCAAAAATGAAAAAACTTTTTGCAGGGGGGGTCAACAGCAACCAAGTAAAGGGCAATGTTGACCTCGGATCGATAAACCAGCATCCCCCTCCAAAAGAGATGAACCCCCCCCCCCACCAAAAGGTGTGGTGTTGGTGAGGACCCACAGCACGAAGCGCGATTCGGGTCTTGCGGGGTGGGGGGGTGGTAAGCACATTCGTTCGTGTGCACCCTCTCAGCCCTGCCAAAGGACAAGAAGCATACCCGCTCAAGAGAGCCCGCGTTACTGCACACACACGCCATGAAATGATCAGCACACCCGCTCAAGTGCTTCCGCGCAGCACGGCACACACGCTGCCAATGATAAGCGCCGTTCACGTGCGTCTGTGCAGAACTGCACGCACGCTGCCAGATGATAAGCGCAAACGTTCTTCTGCGTCTGTGCAGAACTGCACACACGCTGCCAAATGACAAGTGCAGCCGTTCACGTGCAGAACTGCGCACACGCTGCCAAATGATGAGCGCAAACGTTCTTCTGCGTCTGTGCAGAACTGCCCACACACGCTGCCAAATGACAAGCGCAGCCGTTCACGTGCAGAACTGCTGCCAAATGATAAGCGCAGCCGCTCACGTGCAGAACTGCACTCACGCTGCCAAATGATAAGCGCAGCCGCTCACGTGCAGAACTGCACACAAGCTGCCAAATGATAAGCGCAAACGTTCTTCTGCGTCTGTGCAGAACTGCACACACGCTGCCAAATGACAAGTTCAGCCGTTCACGTGCGTCTGTGCAGAACTGCATGCAAACGCTGCCAAATGATAAGAGCAAACGTGCACTTGCGTCTGTGCAGAACTGCAAACACGCTGCCAAGGATAAGCGCAGCCGTTCACGTGCAGAACTGCACACACGCTGCCAAATGACAAGCGCAGCCGTTCACGTGCAGAACTGCACACACGCGGCCAAATGACAGCGCAGCCGCTCACGTGCAGAACTGCACTCACGCTGCCAAATGATAAGCGCAGCCGCTCACGTGCAGAACTGTACTCACGCTGCCAAATGATAAGCGCAGCCGTTCACGTGCAGAACTGCACACACGCTGCAGAACTGCACACACGCTGCCAAGTGATAAGCGCAAACGTTCACGTGCGTCTGTGAGAACTGCACACATGCCTGCCAAAAAATAAGCGCTTTTCAAGCGTGTTCACGCAGCACTGCACACATGCACACAACCGCCTCCAACAACACTGTGGGTCCTGGCCAACACTCGGCTGGATCAGAGTTCTTGTATTAGGCAGTTTTTGGATTTCCTCAAGGCAACCTTCCTGTTCAGAAAGGCACCAAAAAAAGGAGGTATTGCGATCAGACAAAGCACTGACCCGTTCTGGGCATCTTGTGATGATACGCCATTTCGATTCGAGCAACGGTCAATATTCACCGTTTTGAGTCAAGGGAATGATGTTGGGTACACTTTCCAAAGTGTCACACCAAAATCCATCGTCGTTGGGGCGCACAGTGAATATTGACGGTGGCTCATTTGTAATGCGAGGATTTCCCCCTACCCTCTTTTTGTGAGAGCGACATTGCCAGCTCAACCAAATGATATGGTCTCAGAACGGGCCCCGCCATTTCTTTGCTCCTTTGGTCGCTGGAGGTTAGTTCTCCACCCGATCATTTGTTATTTGTTGCTTTCCCTCTAAAGAGGTACATGGCTGTGGCTCGCCAAAGTGTACCAAAATGGCACCTTGGTAAATGGAACCAAAGACCAAAACCTGCGTTTTGCCCTAGCTTTTGAATTTTGAGCCACACCCACATGTCAAAAGGGTCAACTTTCACCAGACCTCCTTCGGAGCCCAAGGCGATGTCATGCCATTTTCGCGGAGGGAACTCCTGGGTGCCGTGCTATATCGTGCAGGGGCTTTTATGACTAGACTCTCACTTTGGGGGGACGCCTTGGCGCAAAAGTTTTTCTAAAAAACAAACATGTTCCACGGTTGCACATGGCTCACCCAGGGATTCTCCGATGTTTTCTTGAGGTGAATCAACTACCGAACCTTCGGAATTGTGGTCCTTTGCGGAACTGAGGTCACCCCCTCCCCAACCTGGTAGTAACCTTGTTGGAAAAACGATAACGCAAATCTGTGGAGGAAAAAAGTATATCCTCCAACACCTCCGAAGGGGTCAGACTCCCACTGTGAGGAAAAAACAACACTCTCTCTGGCGGTGGTTTGGAGCCTTTTTTCCATTCAGATTCGTGTTATGACCCAAGTTTGGTGCTTCTTTCATCCCCCACCTTTTGCCTTCTCCGGCCAATTGTTTGCCCATTTTCACCAATTTTTTTAAAATCACCTGTCTTTTCTTTGGTCCACTCGAGCGGCGCGCTCTTGAGCGGGTTCTCTCGAGGCCCTTTGTGAGCATCTGGCTCGTGACCTCGGAAGCCTTGAACCGGATCTCCATCATCCGGCCCCTCCGCCCAGAAACCGAGCGCTCGAGCGCTCGAGCGGGTGGGTCTCTTTGGAGCGTTTGGGTTGGGCTTTCGGTTTCGGGGGGATGGGCAACTCAAATTCTGTTCCTGTAAAGAGCAAGAGCAGAGCCCTATGCAGCACCCCAACCACAGCTTTTTGGAGCGAACTGGTTCTCTTCGTTTTGGTTGATTTGCCTTTCAGATCACCATCCTCCCAAAGCACTGGATCCCCCCACCTCCACAACCACCCCAACCACCTCAACACCGCCAAACCACCCCCCGCTCCCCGCCCCCCCAACCAAAAACTCCCCCCAAAGAAAGGTAAGAAACAAGCTCAGGTGATATCCCCAACAGCATGAGGCATATTTGCGTGCACTCCTCGGAACCGTCCCATGCATCCCCGCAACCCTCCTCAGAACCTTGCGGAGACGCCCCGGAGCCTATCTGGGCCGATGGACCACATGGCTTTGCACAAAAATCGATCCGAAACAAACACGGGTCCCCGGGTTTGGGACCTGAAAAGGGACACCGAGAGGAAACTCGCTTTAGTGGGTCCCCGGTTTTGGACACATGGGGTGCGACCCACAAGGTGTCCAGGTCATGGATCCTTTGATGGGGTATATCTTAGTCAGTGAGCCATGAGCATGGCCCAAAAAGACATATTTTGCCCAGGGAACGCACAAACTAGGCACCTTAAAAAATGACATATATGTGCCAAGAGGTTGTACACCCGGAGTGTTCTCGTGCAGGAGCAATCATAATTGTATTTTACAACCTCTTGGATCTGGCTAACAAGAGGATCCACATCCACATGAGAGTTTCTTGTAACAGCATGCCATACTTGGCTAGTGGTTTTGGTTAACTTGGAAACAGATGGTGGGTGGACAAAAACCCCCATCAAATGATGTCCACCAAAGCGTCCCAATTGAATAGCAGCGTTCGCGCAGTACGAGGCCCTTTGCGTCACTTTCGGATGCGACCTTGAGATTTCAGGGCTCAGGCAGCTAATCAGAAAGGCTGACATGAGCCATTGTTTTCCCAACAATGGCTTCTTTTTTCTCTTTGGTCTCTCTTTGAACCAACCCCAAAAGGCTACCCAGCCGCAAATGCGGGTCCCTGTTGCCTACTTGGTCCAGTTGGCTGGCCTGCGTAGGTTTCAATCATCAGAGAAGCTCTGTGCTCCTGAGAAGTTGTTGGACGGGTTGAGCCACGAAGGATTCTTGGGATTGCGCTTGTGCTCAGGCTGTTTAGATTGCCAGGGGCCCGGGCCAGACTCGCTCGGACGCCGTCGCCTCTCTCTCCGGGCGGACGCGGATTGACTTTGTTTTGAGGGGAGTTGACATCCATCACGGGTTTTCCATTGTAGGTCCCCCAGTTAGGTGCCCTTTTACCCACTTTTCCCGAAAGCATGGCGAAGGGTTCTTCCGCTGGGTTCACTTGAGTTGTTCTCATGAGAGTCATTACAAGGTGTCATTGCAAGGAATCAGCATCATGAAAGTCATTGCAAGGAGTCATTGCAAGGATCATCAGTCATTGCAAGGAGTCATTGCAAGGAGTCATTGCAAGGAGTCATTGCAAGGAGTCATTGCAAGGAGTCATTGCAAGGAGTCATTGCAAAGGAGTCATTGCAAAGTCATTGCAAGGAGTGCAAGGAGTGCAAGGAGTCATTGCAAGGAGTCATTGCAAGGAGTCATTGCAAGGAGTCATTGCAAGGAGTGTGTAGTATGTGTCAGTTGCAGTCATTGGAGTCATTGCAGTCATTGACTCACTTGACTCCTTGCAAGACTTGTCTTGCACTTGACTCCATGCACTTGGCTCCTTGCACTTGGCTCCTTGCAACTTGCATGCATGAATGCACTTGCTTGCAATGACTCCTTGCAATGACTCCTTGCAATGACTCCTTGCAATGACTCCTTGCAATGACTCCTTGCCATGACTCCTTGCAATGACTCCTTGCAATGACTCCTTGAAACAAGCAAGGAGTCAAGTGCAAGTTGCAAGTGCAAGGAGTCAAGTGCAATTGACTTGCGAGGAGTTAAAATCTCTTCTTAGGGCGGCGGGGTAGTGCCGACGACACTACACGAAAATCGACCCTCTGCGGGGATCGGCGTGGTCGAGGTGCAAAAACCCATGGTTTTTTGCGATTTCTAAAGTTCCCGCGCGACCCTCTGCGGGGATCGGCGTGGTCGAGGTGCAAAAACCCATGGTTTTTTGCGATTTCTGCCTGCTCGCGCGACCCTCTGCGGGGATCGGCGTGGTCGAGGTGCAAAAACCCATGTTTTTTTTTGCGATTTCTGCGGTGCCCGCGCAACCCTCTGCGGGGATCGGCGTGGTCGAGGTGCAAAAACTCGAGGTTTTTTGCGACTTTTGTTGTTCGAACTGGTCCTCGGGAGTTGTCTCGTGGTTCGCGCGCCTGCTCCCGGAACCGGCGGGTCGCGGGTTCGATTCCTCCCTGGTCCGCGGGCGGGCGTCGCAAGATGCAACTTGCATTTTAAAGCAACTTGCGCAGAGCAACTTGCGCAGAGCAAGTTGCACAGAGCAACTTGCGCAGACCAACTTGCACCGACCAGTTTGCGCAGAGCGCCTTGCCTAGAGCAACTTGCGCAGAGCAACTTGCGCAGAGCAACTTACGCAGAGCAACTTGCACAGAGCAACTTGCACAGAGCACCTTGAATGGTGCTGTCTCGCGCTTGCTTCACGAATGCTTCGTGTAGGGAAAAAGAACGCATCCTGCAGCGTTGGGCCGACCTCGCTTGCGATGTTCTGCTTTCGGGCCAACCGTGGTCTAGTTTTGGGGGAGGGTTCCCCTACTAAAATAGACTACGGAAAGAAGTTGGTACCAACTTATTCTAACCTCTCTTTCCGGAGGACCCAGTTGGCGTCGAGGCCCCATTTTGAGGTTTGACGCCTGCAATGCAAATGCTACGCGCGGTGTTCAGTCCGCCGGGTCGGGTAGTGCTTGCTGCGTAGTCCGGTGCTCAAACGTTTCGCTGGTCGCAACAGAACGTGTGCGGCACGAACACTGCGAGACCAGGGCGAATCTCCCTGACACAGCAAAAACTGCACAGCCATAGGTGTCCGCTTTGGTTGCTTTGGTGGAAAAATAGATGGCGATTCCTGGTTTACCTGGTGGTTGTTTCTCATCCAAAAAGGAAAGCCATCTATTTGCCCTAAAAGGACACCAAAAACGGCACAGCAAAAACGCACCATCCACAAGGGCTTGATCTCGAGCACCGGCCAGTCTTGATCTCAATCAGCTTGCCCCGTCCTCGATTGCTTTTGAGTGCCAGCAACGGCGCCCGGTTATTTTTTGGGCGAGACCCAGAATGTGGCTTCAAACAACCTCCACAAGGGGTTACGCTCCAAAACGACTCCGGACATGCGGCTTTTAAAATGGCTTGCGCCCTTTGGGATCCCCTGTTCAACAACAGCCGAAAACCGCGGAATGCAAGTAGTGCTTGGTTGGACGGTCTTTTGGTCCAGTCTTTTTGCAGCACATTTGCTTGTTCCAAGCACACAGCGAAATGATCTGGACGAGCAAACGAGCAGGGGATGACCCTCGTAGAAGCACACGGGCATTCGGTTGAGGCACTTTTGTACCGCTCTGGTGCAGCACTGATCGCGCCAACTCGGCCTGGTTTCTGCTAGGGGGCGGAGCAGGGGATGACCATTCACCCACTTACCAATGGATCGCAAAAAAATCCAAAATCGGAGGTTTTCAATCACCAGCCAGTCGTAGTTTTTTTGGAACTAACAAAGTTCCCTTGTTGGCTCTCAAGGAATGCCTCTGTTCCTGTCAACAGGCCATTTTAGTGGGCACAAACCCAACCCACAAAGGCAGTTCAGGGAAACACAACCGACAGCTTTTTGCTACGAAGCACCAAGGTTTCTACCGTTTACAAAATGGGTGTGCTTAAAAAATCGGGAAGCCAACCAAAATGATTGGCTTCCCTTAGGTCTTCCTTTTGCCGTTTTTTCGCCGGAGGGCCTACTTGTGGCGAATTCTTTCGGATCTGAAGGTTTCCCTTCAGATGCTATGTGGCCATGTCAAAGTCCCGTGAACATCAACCAATCCAACCACTAAAATCCCGACTAAAATGGGTGGGGCACCTACCCCAAAATGGGATCCCGTTGGTTTTGACAACCACAGCCATGTTCTGCAGGTTGAAACCTTCGGATTCCCCGCGGCTTCGCCACGGGAGCACCCGTGTGAGGAACTCCGCTCCGCGCGCGCCTGAGGCTCCGCCTGGGCCGCATCTTCCGGATGCTGCGCTTCCACCCGGAGCTGCGGCTGCTGGCGAAGAGCCGCTCGGAGAGAAGCGATTTCCGGGCTGTTCCCAGGGGGGGTTCGTTCAAAAAAGAAAACACGGGCAGGGCTCAAGCCGTTTTTTTTTCCCCAACAGCTGAAAGCTTTGGGGTCTCAGCCCAGATAGGCTCCGGGGTGGTCCGGGGCGGCCCTGAGGCAAGGTTCCACCAGGGTTCCAGCAGGGTTCCACGATGTTCTGCAAGGGCTGCCGGGTGGTGCGAGCACTAAAAAGAGCACGGCATGCTGTTGGGGATATCACCTGAGCTTATTTTCTTTTCTTTTTGCATGGTTTGTCGGTTTGTCGTTCCACTGTTTGTCGGATAAATAAGCAGCTCCCCTGGAACGGGCGGGGCTCCCTCTTTTTTTTTTTTAGGTTTGCTTTGTCCACTGTCTGGATAAAGAGGCAGCCCCCTCTAAAAGTGTAGAAAACCCTTTTCAAGGGAGGCGGTTCATTTCAGTGGAGAAGGCAACCCCTGTTTTTTTTTGGGCTCACCGTTGTGGGGTTGGCAAGGGAAAAGGACGGTGCCGATTCTCCGATGCCTATTTTGAGACAAACTTATATGGCCCTTTTCGGATGGTTGAAACAGATTCCTTTCAATTGTGTTCTCAGTTCTCCAAACATTTGTGGGGCGTTGCCTGAATGGTGTATCGGGGTCTCCCTATGAAGCACAAGATTTTGGACTTGCCGCTAGATGGGCTTCCTCTCTCGTAGACGTTTAAGGGTCACCTGTGGACCCCTGATTAAGCAGCATGCCTGGTTGATTTTGAGAGATGGGGGTGCCAGATTCGGATGCAGACCACTTTCGGAGGGAACACCCCACATTTTGTTGACCCCGGATCTAAGTAGAACCCCCCCACTTATTGACATGGTGGTGGGGGCCACTCCAACACTGGGCAAGAACCCAGGAACCGCCCCAGATCAGCAAAAAACGGTTTTAAGAATCCGGGGTCCAGCAGGGAACCCTGTGTTTTGCTGGGTTTCTCCGGATGGACATCCTGACGCTGGCTGAATTTGCGTGCCATGATCTTGTTTGCGGATGGCATTTTTGGAGGCTCCCTTCAGGTTGGTTCAAAGGGACCAACCACACCATTCCTGGTCAGGACTCTGTCCAGTAGGACACCCATGCCATGAAACCCTTCTGAATCCCTCGGCCCGCGGGATTCGGAAGGTACAAATTTTATGGAGTCCAAAGTTTCGGGGGAGCTACTTCACAAAGGAAGCCGACCCGTTTTTTTTCGACGGCTGGGTTCCGGAGCCGCATGAATCCCATTCTGGGAATAAACGGCGACCTTTGGGACTGAGCAACAATCTAAACCCAGGCACGTGAAGGTTAGTAGCAGAACTAGGTGCAGCCGCCTACAGGTGTTTCTTTGCATCATTTTCCAGTCGGCCATTTTAATACCCGATCGATTTTTTTAAATTCTCAGATTGGGACTGTGGCTGAACTGCAGCTGACATCTCAGCTTAGGCCAAGGCAATCTGGCAACCCTTTGGAGTCGAAACCGGCGAGGGTCAATGGGAAAAGCTTCACACCTCCAGGCCAAGCCACGAGAGCTGATGGTCCCAAAGCCCGGAAAGCGGTTCCATGGGGCGTGTGACAAAAAACGGACTCGGCAGTTGGTGGTACAAAAGCCCCACACCCACCCCGCCCACCCGAGATATGTGGGGATTTCTTATCGCGTTTGCGCAGATTGCAGACATTGAGGCGATGGATTTAACTGCTTTTCATTCCTTGCTCTCCTGCAAATACCCACTTCCCCAATAGCAGAAGACCACCACCAGTTGTGTAGGGGTCATTTGTTTTGAAGGGCCATTTTATGGGCTCCGCCAAACAAAACAACAACAACAACTGCGCATGCGCAGACATGAATTGACTGGGAGGTATTGTGCGTGCCATGCACGCGGTTTTCTACATCCTCTTCTTGCTGGTCTTGGCGGCGTGCTGAGCTGCTCCGACATTTGTTCGCGGAATGTCTGCCAAAGGCTTACCTAAACCTCCAGCGGCGTCCCCTTTTTCTCCTGGTTTGGAGGGGGCTTTCCTTTGATTATGCACCACCAACAACAAAGAGTGACCTTTTTTTATCATGGCTTCTGGGGGGCTGGGCTTACCTTGGCTTTTACTTCCTTAGATTATCTTGGGTTCAACCAGCCATGAAAACAGGCAGATCCATCTCGCCAAGTGAGAGCAGTCTTGAGCCGGGAGAGACATCCGCGGCGCCCCTATGAAGCCCCAATTGTTTTCTTGTTGAAAGTGGTCAAGCCCTTGCAACTATGCTGGCAGAAGCAAGGCTCAATGGGTTTTGGGCGCACAATGTGACTGCAGAAACAAGGCAATGGTGAGTTTCCAGTTTTCGCCGATTATTGAGAATGCGTACAGTTTGTTTTGTGCGAGCCACAATCAAAACCCGGGTAAATGAAGGTTAGTCAGGGACAATCCCAGCCATACATAGCTGCGGCCGCCTTCTTAATTCTTTGCATGGTTCGGGGTAGACCATTTTAATACCGGGTTTTGATTATGACTCTGCCTCATGTCGTTCTTTGGTGATGCTTTCAATGCCCGCCATGGCCTCGGACATGCAGTGCCTGCCACATGCTCTGAGACAGTGCCGGTACCGGTCTATGGGGGATGGCTGCCTAGAGCATTTTGGCTCCCCCTGGTCTTGCACTGGCTTAGGTCGTGGGATAGGAGAGCACCGGACAGGGAAACGCATTTCATGGCGAGACCATGACGGACCCTATACCCTCCCCCAACTCTTAATTCTTGGTTTGGAGGTAAGCCCAGACCCCCAGAAGCCACGGGAAAACAGGTCACTCTTGTTGCTGGTGGATAAACAAAGTTGAACACCCCTGCCAAACCAGGAGAAACAAGGGGGAACAACCAAAAAACCACTGGAGGTTTTTTCGGCCTTCGAACCCTGTCTCCGTTCTTTTATTTTGGGTGTGTGTGTTTTTCCCTAGACAGCTGAAAGCTATAGGGGTTGTAACTTCTAATAAAGCGGGGAAAGGGATTTGCGAGATTGCCGGCTGGGTGCTAGAGGGCGTGCCGTTGGGGTGCTGGCGCAGATGCTGTTAAGGTGTGCTGTTTGGGGAGCTGTTTGTGGTTCTTGTGACGGCGCGGCCGCATTTTTTAAAGATTGATGGCAGGGTGAGCGCGTGCAGTTTTGGCGTGTTGTTTGGGGTGTTGTTTGAGGTGCTGGTGACGGTGCGGGCGCATTTTTGCGCGATAGATGGCCGGGTGCTAGGGGGCATGCGTGCAGGTGACGCTGCAGGCGCAGTTTTGCAATATTGACCGTAGGTGCTGTTTTGGATTCTGTTAGGGGCTGTTTGAGGTGCTGGTGACGGTGCGGGTGCATTTTTATGAGATTGGTGGCAGTGCTGTTCGCTGCGACGGCGCGAGCATTTTGCGAGATTGACAGCATGGCGCTAGGGGGTCATGCAGTTTGGGGTGCTGGTGCAGGTGCTGTTTCGGGGTGCTATCTGGGGTCTATGCTGGTTTATTTTTCCTCTTTTTTGCGGGCTCCGGTGGTTAGGGTCACAGCGATCAGAAGGCCTTCCTGGGGCCTGACAGGTCACCTACTTCTTTGCCATTGTCTTCACCACGCAGCTGCCTGGCAAGATATACAATTGAAGTCTCTCTCTCTCTCTCTCTCTCTCTGAAGGGATCGGGTTGCCGTTTGAATACAGATACCCCCGTTTCAACCCCGGGTGTCCCTTGAAGGCTTCCCTTTTTGGGTTTCCCTTTGTTTTTTCCTCTGGGTTTCTATCTGGTTTCTTTTGGGAACTCTAGAAAGGCGAACTCCGGCTTCGGCAGCTGGAAGTTTGGGATCTCGCTGGATGCATCTATGCGAAACGCTGGGAGTTGGATCCGATCCACCAGTTATTGAACTGGGGTCATTATTTTGACGGTTTCTGGGGGATATCGAAGTCAGAAAATGGAATCGGTTGGTTCCCTTTAATCCCCCACTCCGGGGGTGACTTTGATCATGGTGAAATAATGCAGCTAGTTCAAATCGGGCTTCATAACTCCCAGCAGGTGCGTTTTCCGCGGAAAACGCCGGGTCCTCGTCATATGAACCAGGACTTGGCAGACCTTCTGTGCTAAGGGAAGCTGGATACTTGACTGATCGCGGGCTTGATGCATCAGGGGTTAACCTTCTCCCGTTTCATCGACGCAGATGCAAGTCTGCTGAGTCGCCATTCGGGGCTGAAGCGCTTCTTGTGTTAGCCTCCGCACCGCGGGATTTCCTGACGCATGTCAAACGTACGGTCAAACGTGCCTGTCCAGACACTGAAGCAGGAATGGGCCTATACTACTCCCAACTTTTTGGAAGGTTTGCGTCTCGCCCCCACCCCTCAACCCCTCGGACCTTTCTGTAAAGAACCAGAAGGAGCTGCCGGCGGTTTTGGTGCCCAATTGAGAAAGTTCCATGGATCTCTTTCAAGGGCTACGAAGCATCGCCCATTGGACCAAAGGACCGATTCTGTTTCGGGCGGTTCCATCTGGTTTCATGGGCGTTCCAGCAACGGCAGAAAAAAAAAAAAAAAAAAAAAAAAACGTATGGCCATCAGCGGGACTGCTCAAATGCTTCCATGCTTTCTTTTCTCCCCGAATAGGTGGTTTAGACTGGTTCGGAGGTTGGGTACCTTCTCCATTTGGTTTCAAAAGGAACGGGTTCCAGCCCTCAAGCCACTGATGGAACTGGGGAGTGGACAGTTCTTTCCCCAACAGCTGAAAGCTAAGGGGTCTCAGCCCAGATAAGGTTTGGGGGTGGCTTGGGGAGCTCTGGAGTCAGGTTCGAGCAAGGTTCCGGAGGTTCCGGGTGGTCTGGTGCAGGCCAGGTGTAAGGTTCAAGGCAGGTTCCGGAGGTTCCGGGTGGTCTGGCGCAGGCCAAGTGTAAGGTTCAAGGCAGGTTCCGAAGGCTGGCTGGTCTGGTGCAGGCCAGGCTAAGGTTCAAGGAAGCCCAACAGCTCTCAGCCCAGTTACGATCTGGCAGCCCTGAGATAAGGTTCCACGAGGGTTCCACCAGGGTTCCACCAAGGTTCCAAAGGTTCCAAAGGTTCCACGAGGGTGCGAGCACTAAAGCGTCGCAGGGGACGCCACCTAAGCTTGTTTGTTTTGTGACCCAGACCATCGGTGAGCCCCTTGAAAACGGGGTGACGTTTGGTCCCTTGCCCCATTTTTCCTGGAGGGGTCAACACAACTCTCCCACAAACCACTCTCAGGTTAGCCCTTGATTCGCGGCTTGGGATGGCTGCTGTTTTCGGCGGAAGGGTCAGTAGGTGCCAGGGACGTTGGGGTAGTGTTGTTAGGAAGGGTGAGAAGCTGTGCCTGAACTCTGCCATTCGAGCCGTGAATCGTTCGACCGCAAAATAAATTGCAAGAAAGGTTCTTGGACCGGAGCAAGCAAAGCCACGCTTATTCTGGGGATGTGGCTGTGGGTCAAAACTAATGGTACCATTGTGGGGTAGGTGCACCACTCGTTTTAGTCTATTTTGGTGGGGATTGGGATGTTCGCTGGGAGTACGGGGTTTTGACCCATGTCCATGTATTTGCCTCTTAATGCGTAGAGAGGCAAGATTCCGTTTTTGCCTCGAAAATCATTTGATACGTGCTCGTATCACTGCGAGCTTGTTCTTTTGGGTGAGGATGGCACAATGGAGGTTTGAAGGGTGAGTTGGATTGACGCGCCTATTCATTTGCTTGATGCACAAACTCAACAATACCAACCCAGGATTAATAGGATTAATATACCCCTAAATGGGCGTGGCCCTGGTGTTAGTGGGGGTTCAGGCCACTTTTGGAGAGGAACACCGCATCCCCATATGGACGCGCAGGGGCCCTACTTGGATTCTGGGGGAGCTGTTTGAGAGTTCAGGAAGTGCCACCCATGCTGTTTGAAAATGGCAAGTTGGTTGGGTTTTAAACGGAAGACATAAGGACCACGCAGTTGTCTTTGGGGCCTGAGTTTTGGAAACACTCACGCGTACATTCGGGTCGTGTTTGTTTGATGCTGGGGATTCGTGGCTTGGTCACATTTTTTTGACTTTGTTCACATGACACACCCGCAGATACATACACACTCACACACGTTCAAAGCTGTCAAGAAAGACCGCTGCTCTGCCAAAGCTGACGGAGGTGAAACAAAGATCGGACATGTGACTTGTGGGCCTAGAAAGGCACTTAGACAACTGATGAGGCGCCAGTTTTCCTTTTTCGAGTCTTGGGATCTTTTTTTTCCGTTTTTTTTTTCCATGGGTTCTTTGGTCTCGACCCATGGGGGTAATCCACCAAAGTCCCCGCTTGGCGTCGATGGATATCCGAGGCTCGGGGTGCCGGGCACCCCCAGGGCGGGGCCCTTTGACGAGCCCACGGCGCAGCAGCTCTTCTCGGACATGGGCTCCTCCATGATGTCGCTGCCGCGGCCTTAATGAGCAGCTCGAGAAAGTTGTGTTTCCGCGGGCGTCGAGGTGTTTCGTTTCTTCCTCTTTTTCTTTTCTTCTCCATTTTTTTTTTATTTTTTTTTTCCGCGGGTGTCGACGTGTTTTTAGGGTTTTGGGATGGCCTGCCTGGAATTCTGAGAGACTTATTCTTATGTCCGCGGGAGATCCCAAAACAATTTTTGCTTGGTAGAAGCTTGAAACAGACTGAGCAGCTGAAGCTATTTCTGTTCTTTTCTTTTTTTTTTTGTCAGCTCGGGGCATCCCCGGACTTGGCAAGAACGCCCTTTGCAATTTGTTCACGGGTTTTGAGTACACCCTTTTGATACCAGGTTTTCAATGCGATTCAACGTGTCTTTTGTCACGTGGGGTGAGGGTTTTTCTGATCTTTCAAGAGATCCAAGTAGCCTTTCTCCTTTCGGAAAGACGAGGAAAAGTGAGTTTCTCTTTTTGGGATTTGGACCTTTGAGGATGGCTTCGGTGGACAAAGAAAGGTGCCCAAAAGGCGGACTTGAGTTCGCACCCGTTTCGCAGCCGTTTCGATCCAGGCTCATAAAATTGAGACACCAACAGCTAGCGTGCATTTGTCAATCTGGATGTTGGCGCATAGTTGACCCCCAAAACTGGTGGCTTGGCCGTGGGTTCTTGTTAAAGACACTCCCCACTCGTTTGATGACCCGGGCTGACGCTGTCAGCCGCTTCCGACAGTCTCAGAAGCAACCAGCGGTTCAGAGTTGGGTTTGGGACTTTTCAAACTGGTTGAAAGCCGAACGGCGGTTTCCCCGAGCCTGGGGCCATGAATCACTTGAGTTTGGAGACCGAGGTTCACCTATGGCACGCCGGGGGCCAAAGTCGATTTGGGAGTCCTTGGAGTTGGGAAGTGACAATTCATTGGCGGCTTCCAAAACGGTCGGTTTCAAAATGCTCGGTTCAAAATGGTCGGTTTGAAACTCATTTGCTTGCTTCGCTTCCGGTGCGGCAGTTTTATCTCCAAGTTGCGAAGCGGAAAATCGTTTCTGAGCCGGTGTCCTGGAATCAATGTGGCTCTTGACACATTGTGGGCGCCCCCACATCGAGCGGATGCAGGTTCCTTTGACCCGAAAGGGCGAGCGATGCATGTACCAACCGACTGGATCCCACGAAGCCGAACATCAGCAAGGGTTGCTGCAGGCTTTGGGAGGCTCAAGGAGCGAATTGTGAACTCTGATGATGTGTTTCTTGATCCCTGTTTTGGCTTCCATGGAAGGCCTGGATTATGAGTCTCGGCTGGTCATCAACTCATAGATTGCTGTGGTCTCCTCCAAAACTCATATGTATGTGTGTATATGTACATATGTATTTGTATACATGTCAGGCCGCCTACCCCCCCCCCCCCCCCCGCCCCAGGGGTAAGTCCCCTGAGGTTGGAAATAGGGGGTCCCCATAAGCCTCCACGATACCTATTCCGATGAAAGGAACTGTAGAGGAAGTTGAAGAGGAACAACCTTTTGTAAATAGGCAGTGCTCGGTTTCTCGGTGGAAACCAATGGTAACGCAACAAGTGTGATGCGTTTTTTTGCTCTGATCGAGAAAATGCACAATTCACCAGGCTTGAGCCAAAGCATGGCCGCCGGCAATTGCTCATGAGTGGATTGAATCAAGCAAGGACGAAAGCAAGAAGCAACACAGACCCACATTTTTCATGGCATTACGAATTCCCTTGGGAATGCGGCCAGAAGCGATTTGATCGCTTGGCTCCTAAGCCTGACTTGCGGAATAGTGCAGAGGAAGCACATTTGCAATGTGTTGTAGCTAATTGAACTAGCGCGGCTGCGCCATATTTTACGTGCAATGCCTTGTGAAAAAGTCGGTGCAAAAGTGATGCACAGCGAACTGAAATCCGAAGATGTTGACAATCCGATATAATCATGGTGAAAAATTCCGGAGATTGTCCGGAGCCAAAATCAAAACAGCTGAAATGGAAAGTCCATTTCAAGAAAATTGCATCATGGAAAGGAACATGTTGTTGGCATTTCGCAGAAAAGAATGTGATACCAAAAGAGTATTTACACCGCTGGTCCCATGGATAGACCCAGCCCACGTCGGCGTCTCATCTGGAGTTTCTCATCTGAGATATTTGGAGGCTCCGTTCTGGAGCCAATGTTGGCCAACAGCGGTCACTGTCATTGGCGCCAAGAAGTAGGCAGTAATTGTGCACTAGCTTGTACCTCCCACTACGAAATCTTGGTCAGAAACATTTTATGGTTTTGCGGTTGTTTGTACGGAGGCAAGCTTGAGGTCGCACTGCATTACGTGTGTGGCCAGGCAATCGAGCACGCCGTAGAAGGCGTCGGTCTCAAGTTGCCGTGGTTCCACGCTTTAGGGACGCGTCAGCGACGTACCTGATTGATGCTCCATGCTCGACGGAGATGTTGAGAGCGTCGAGATTATGGGCTTGTTTTTCACTGAATGCTTCCACGAGCACGTCCATGACAAACTAGAGCTGAGAATTGAGGATGTGGAACCAATTGCTTCTTGCTCAGCACTTTGCGTCTCCGTTCACTGTCGACCAAAAGTTTCACACCTCTATTGAGGACTCTCGCCATGTCTGGGTGAATGCCCTGTAGGAGTTTACGGCCGTGCGCGCGAGTGGCTGGCAAAGGCGAGGGCCGACGCACGGGCCGCCGCGAAGCTTGACGCTGCAGACGAGCGCATGGCGAAGCGCATGCTGGAGGCGGGCGCTCGCGCGCAAAGCCTGTCGCAGAGCGGCGGCCGCACCGGCCCGGCGCAAGCGCAAGACCAGGGAGAACAAGAAGGCCAAGGCAAAGAGCCGCTCGCTCCGCGAAAGAGCAAAGACGGGTGACAAGGCGCGCGTGACTCCAGCGCGCCGTGAGTGTCGTTCGCGCCCAGGCGGCTGCCGACGACCTGGCTGCCGCGCGAGCGAAGCGGAATGCGCGCTCGCAGGCGCGAGTGACCGTTGTGCGAAGAAAAAGAGGTCCTGACTGGCAGGAATACCGCGCCAAGAAGCAGCTTAAGAAGGGCCACGGCGCGCAGAACAAACGCCCCTTCCGGCGTCCTAGTGCTTTTTCCTGCGCTCTCAACTCCGGATGCCTTTTATTGCTCCTCCCTGCGAAGGTGTTGTGGACGGTAGGGCTTACCATGCCGTTCTGCTGATTGGGTGCAAAAGGATAATGTCAAGATTTCTTCCTCCTACCAGGATATACGGGCGAACGCTCCAAATTGCCTGGTGTTTGTGTGGAGAATGGAAGTGTAGGCCTTCCTCTACGCGAGTCCAAAGCCCCTGTGACACGGATTGGGTAGCCGAGCGGGTTGGTTGCAGTACTCTTCCAATGTAGGTTGATTTAGATCTTGGACAAGAGCGCTGATGCTGGCTGTTTGGAGATTCGCGATGCCCTTTTGAGGAGCAAATGCTCTGGGAGGAAATGGTTTCTTTTTGTTGACCTTGTAGCTGCACGAAAGGGATGCGTTGAAAATTGTGTCGATGTTAGTGTTGTAGTGCTTTAAGCACTTCATAGTGCCAGGAGGCTCGAAGACTGGTCATGGAGTCTGGGGTTCGGCCTCAAAGCTTGCGAAACAACTTGTTGCTTTGATTGCGCATCAACAGTCGCTTCGGTGTGTTTTTGTGGGGTCTCTGTGTAGATCCTTCCTTGAGTCCTGAACAAACCCCCTTCAAGTCACAAAGCTGTCACCTGTGGATCGGGTTTGGCTGATGTTGCGCACCCAATGTGGGTTCCAGGTTGGTGGCTTTGCTGTTCAGGGTTCGTTTCAGACATAAACTTCCATTCGGTCTAAATGGCAACTTTGTGGAGCCACAGCATGTAGATGTATTCTGTTCAGCCGTCTTCTTTTGAGACACTGCAGCAGTTCCATGAGTTTCCCTGCCTCCGCAGCTTGTCGGCTTGCGTTGATTTTCATGGATTGTGTGATTCCCAGCTCGACTTCCCCGAAGGCTGTTGGAAGCCTTCCGCTTGAGTAGAAGCAACTGCAAACCCAAAGGATGCTCCTCATCACTATCTCGTGGTCTCCTCGGCGGGAGGTACGCTAGAAACAATGACTGCCTACTTCTAGGCGCCAATGGCAGTGACTGGCAGCACCCGTTGTTGGCCAACATTGGCTTCAGAACGGAACCTCCAAAATATCTCAGATGAGAAACTCCAGATGAGACGCCGACGTGGGCTGGGTCTATCCATGGGCCAAGGTTGTAAATACTTTTGGTATCAGATTCTTGCCGGCAAAATGCGTATGACAGATTCATTTCCATGATTGACATTCCGGCTCAGTTTTCATTTCGGACCGAACAATCTCCGGAATTCTCGCCATGATCATCTAGAATAGTAAAATTATCGCTGCACTGACTTGTGCAAAGAGCCGTGCGCGTCAAAAGATTGCAACTTCTGAGGCATACCCCGAGTCAATTGGCTACGGGACTTACCCGATGTGCATGCGTTGGACTACTCCGCACTCAGGCTTTCTGAGCTGAGTGAGTGAGTTGCAATTATTTCGACAGGAATTCGTAACGCCTCGGTGGAAAGAAATTTGTGCCTGTTTTGTTTCTTGATTTGTCTGTGCTTGATTCCAGAGGTCCACTTGAGAGACTCCCCAGTGCCACTAGCTCAAGCCTGGTGATATAATACCTTCAGCTTCCAGCAGGCAAACGCATTGACAAGCCAAGCACGGCCTTTTCATATCTTGGACCTCCTCAATTTCCTTCACTTATATATTCTGGCAGAATAGGCCCGCAGGGACCTGAGGAGTATTGCCAAGATCGGGGCCTACAGCCTGGAATGATATAGGTAAACATTATATATATATATATATAAATATATGTATATATATATATACACATACAAATATCGATGTTAGGTATACATGTGCGAGGACAGACTAAATACGAAACACGAGCGGAAAACAGAACAGTACGCCCCGCAGTGGGTTGGAGCGGCTGCGCGGTAGAGTTCCGGAAGGGTTCCAGGGAATTCCGGGCTGCTGGGGAAGCCGCCTGGGCGTATTTTCTTTGTATACCGCAGGTGCAGGCCAAATTTAGAGAACCACTGTTGGTAGGGAAACCTACTTCTAAATCAAATGGAAATGAGATCTGAAAATGAAACTCCAGCAGCACCAAACCAAATGGAAACTCAAGTCTATCAATGCTAAATCACATGGAAACCAGTTAAGCTGGTTAGATACTCTTGTAGGTGCCCCTGTGTAAAGGGGGAGGAACCCGGGCACTGGTTGCAACTAGGAAGGAGCCGGTCGGTGAGGCTGGCAGATGAGTTAGCTTCCGCCTTCCACGCCATCAAAGCGGACACTCGGAAGGGTGGAAGGGAGGCGGGTCCGGCCACAAAGCGACAAAGTGGGGTGGTTTCCTCTCAAACAAGGTTCTCAAATGGGGTTCGCAAAATGGCCACACAGGAAACATTCCAGGGGCATCCAAACCAAACGCGATCTTTGGGCTTTTCGGCTGCTAGACACTGTCGAATGTAGACATCCAACATGTGCTCTGCACTGATGCGTGATGACCTCGTTTGGGCGGTTACGAAGGACCAAACGTGACACACACACACACACACAACACATATACACACGCGCACACGGCACGTGGTTGTGCGTATTTTGAAAGGAGTGTTTCCTTTTTGAGGGTTCCCCTTTTGGGTCGGTTTAAAGGGAAACCAAAATGAAACCAACCCCATATTTTGAGCAACACCCAATTGAGGCCTTTTCCACTCGTGTTCCCTTTTACCACCACTAACAGGGTGGTGCCCATAGAGGCGTGTGATTTGTGGGCCCCAGAGGTCACTGGAGGGTTCTTCACACAGGAATTCCCTTTTGCATTTCAGGGTTTTGCCCGGCCGTATTCTGTGGGACCAAATAACTTCCGCTTGCACAGGGTGAGTTTTTCCGTGACCACGTGCCTTGGTTTCGACTCCTTGGTGGTTTTCAGGGAAAGTGACAGGGGAGAGATCGAAGCTCTTTCGTTTTGGAACCCTCACTTGAGAAAGAAGTGGCCACAGGCCTTTTCCTGTTCTGTCCTTTCCTGCTTCTGCCACTCCGGCGATTTTTATCGAGAGGTCCTGTGTCCTCGATCTGCCACTGCTACCCCTGCTGCAGCAGCGAGCTCCTGCTGCTACTCAGCACTACAGTAAGACTCAACAAGGATCCTTGCCTCGTAGCAAGACATGGTGCGGGTTGAACGGAGCTTGCTGGAGCCATGCATTGAGAGGAGCGTTCCCTTTGTAGTTATCCCAACGGGCGGCAAACAAACACATGTACTGCGGATCGCATGGTCGCATTTAGCCTCCTATCCAATTGGGAACTAGCAGAAAACAAAAAAGGCGAACCCCCCCCAGTTTTGGGCTGTTCCCCCATTTAGAGACAAACCCCATTGAACCAGACATTCCCCCCCCAATTTTCCCCTTTTCCAGCAACCCCCATTTTCGAAAACCACACGGTCTCGAGGAGCCTCCCCCATTTTAAGACCTGGGGTAAGGAGAGCGCGCTGCTGTTCTGGCTCTTCACGCTCTTCGTGGTGATCTCTGGGATCACGCTGCTGAACATGCTCATCGGCGTCCTTTGTCAGGCAGAGCCCGAAAGCGCAGCGTGCGTTGAGCGGGAAGCAGGTGGTGGTTTGGCATCTGTGATGCTGGCCGAAAAGAGTCTGGGTATGTCTCTCCTTGGGACATGAGCTTTTATTTGGAAACCAAGGCCAGAAATGCAGGAACCTCGCCCATTTTTTTTAAGAATTCGTCACCAGGCCTGGAAAGAGGCGGGATTCAGGGACAAAGTTGATCCGAATGGAGGTTGTCCCCAGGGAACCCTCAAAACGGGTTGCTTCCCTTTTGCACCAACCCCAGGAAATGCACCCTTCAAAAAAGGACGCTCCCGAACGTAGGGGCTGGTTGGGGTCTTTCGCACCTTGCTGAGAAGAAGCAAGATTGACCGCGGAACTTCCTTTGCGAGGGTTTTCGAAGGGCAGTACTCAGCCCTACCTTCCGAGTTGCCCTCCCATACTCCAGGGATTCCTGCTCAGGTTTCGTACGCAAACAATCGCGCGGGAAGCCCTTCTCAGCGGAAGGGCAGAGTTTGCCAAAGTCCATTTTTTTTAGGACCCCAACCTCCTGGATCGCCAGTTGCGATCGCTTTTTTCCATCAACTTTACCGTCCAAAAACCAGGAACAGTGTCTGAAACCAGCGATCGCAACTTGGCTGTCTAGGCGGTTTCTGGGACCCCAGAACTCCAGGAGGAGGTTCGACAGTCCCAACAAAAGCAGGTTGGAGAAGCGGAGGGATCCTCCCAAGTCTGGCCGAGCCATGAATGGTCATGGCACCAGGATTTTTATCGCCAATGCTTCTGGCATTTGGGTGTGTGTAGACCCATAGGGGCAACTCACCAAATGGTGCTGTTCGTTTTAGATTCCCTTTAAGAGCCAACCAAAAAGGGCTTCCCTAGAAAAGGAGCCACACCCGCTTCAAGGCACCCAGTTCAAGCTTTTGGTTAATTACTTGGTGTCAACAGTAAATCACAGAGACGGGGGCAATGCACTCAAGGCATATAGACTCCAAGGCTGGATTTGTCAGGGTGCCCTCGAGGTTGCCCTCGGGGTTCGGAAGAATCCCATTTGGCTGTGGCTCAAAAAACCGGAATTCCAAAATGGGGCAAGGGTTACCCAAAACCTGCGGTTTGCCCCGATCGTTGCATTTTGCGCCACGCCCATTTGGAGGGGATTCATGTGGAGTATACACCGGTTTTGCTGGTTTGATCTGGCGCGAGAGTCCGGCTCGTGTCGCTGAGCGGGAGAGGTTCCCAACTTCCCAAGCCTTATTATTATTTTGTTTGGGTTCCCAACCCTCGTTTTTTTTTCTTATTTTTCTTTTGTTTTGTTTGGTTTGCAGAAAGCTTCATTGCCTTTCGGGGCTTTCGGTGGTTATTTGGGTGCCCGTCCGTTGCGAGGTGTGTTGGGGTGTTGCGGTGTGTGTGTGTGTGTGTGTGTGTGTGTGTGTGTGTGTGTGTGTGTGTGTGTGTGTGTGTGTGTGTGTGTGTGTGTGTGTGTGTGTGTGTGTGTGTGTGTGTGTGTGTGTGTGTGTGTGTGTGTGTGTGTGTGTGTGTGTGTGTGTGTGTGTGTGTGTTTGTGTGTTGTGTGTGTGTGTGTGTGTGTGTGTGTGTGTGTGTGTGTGTGTGTGTGTGTGTGTGTGTGTGTGTGTGTGTGTGTGTGTGTGTGTGTGTGTGTGTGTGTGTGTGTGTGTGTGTGTGTGTGTGTGTGTGTGTGTGTGTGTGTGTGTGTGTGTGTGTGTGTGTGTGTGTGTGTGTGTGTGTGTGTGTGTGTGTGTGTGTGTGTGTGTGTGTGTGTGTGTGTGTGTGTGTGTGTGTTTGTGTGTGCTGGTGGGCACGAGGTTGCAGACCATTGCAAGCCAAGCCATCTGAAAGATGCGAAAACCTCACCGGAAGTGGCGAGATTCGCGGCAGGATGGTGGCCGCGACGTGAGGGTGTGGGGGTCTGGGGGTCTGGGGGTCTGGGGGTCTGGGGGTCTGGGGGTCTGGGGGTCTGGGGGTGTTGCCAGGTGGTGGAGGACAATTCCAGGGAGCATGAGAAGCAGAAGATGCTGGCGGAAGTCTGAGATGGTGCTGTGTTTTCCAGGGAACCAGGTTGGTTCGGGACACCGAAAGAAACTCCCACCGATTTAGGGGTCTCCCTACTTTGACACAGACCCAGGTGTGCCACCTTGTCAACACATCGAGACCCAGGAGACTGCAGATGTGGTGGTTGTAAGAACTCTTCAAACCGGGGCCTGGCAGGGCTACCCTTTTCAGCCACATGAACGCCTGACTCATTGCCAGGGAGTTGGTGGGTAATTCGCTCTCGATGCTTTCGTGGGATTACTGTTGGGTATTTAGATGATGTTTTTCAAGGCAAGGGCAACCTCATCTTGCGCAGCTTCTGGGGGAGCACAAGAGATGAACACATATTTTGATTCATGCTTAATTTGGAGAGGACGAGACGGGGGGCCCACTCAGATTCCCTCGTGGCTCACATGGCGATCTGTCCCCCTTTCCTGCTGCCACTTTGTCTGCCCAAGGAAGTTTTGGAAGTCCGCTACACGAATTCCACCTCCCGCCCCCCAAGATGAAAAACCAACAAGGAAGTTCTGGAATTCTGGAGTTTTGGGCGCATTTTGGTTTTCATTGGGTTGGGGTCGGGAGGACAACTAGACGTTGCCATGGGGTTCCTCTGGTTGCTTTCCCTGCTTTGTTCTGGCTTCCAGCATATCATGGGGTGTGGGGTGGTCCGAAAAAGGACTGCAGCTGTTTTCTCGCCAAGTCACCACGCTCATAGTGCTTGATGCTTGCTTGCTATCGCCTCGGTCCAGTGCCGTTCAAAGTTCCGACATCCTGGGACAGTGCCGAAAAAACAAGAAACAAAAAGACAAATAAAACACACAAAAAGAACAATCACTTGTGACAGGGGCGCATTGGGCAGGTGGTCAGACGTTTGGGCAGACTTCACGGATACAACAGTGAGGGAAACCCGCCTAACCTTCACACCTCCAAACCACGAATCCAAGCCACTCTTTTCGAGGGAAGCTGATGCCTGGTGCTTCCCCATGTTACAACAGGATCTCCTTTGGGGACCGTGCCTGAACTTTGTGTCCTCCTGCTTCGGCTCTTCGGCGCATTTTTGGTTAGCTTGGTTAGAAACGGACTGGTTCCACGGGTTTAGATTGGTTTCACTTGCTGGTGCGATAGGCAGGGAGTGAGAAACGGAATGACCAAGAAAAACACATTCCTTGCTGGTGGTTTCCCTTCAAAATGGGCCATTCTCTGGGTTCATTCCCACATTTCCCATTGGTTTAGACGCTCATTTACCAGGTGGAACCCATCGACCTCTGGGGACCAGTAGCCATTGCCAACCCCTTCGCCAGGTTGAAAGCCATGATGTTCGCAGAAGTGATGATTCAAATCGGGGCGCAATTCTTCCAATCTCTGCAAAACGTCTAAAAAGTAGCGCTGAAGGGGGGGGCACGTTCCAAGAAGTGACGACTCGAAGGCAGGAACTGGTGATTTCGGGGGGGGGGGGGGGGGGTCCCCTGAATTTTTTCCTAAAAAGTACCGGTGGGGGGGGGGGGTCCCCTGGGATTTTATTTCTCAGCTCCAAAGCGCAGGTGGATCTCAAGAGCAGCTTGGAGGAGGCCTTCGAGGCGCCGGCGCGTCGCCGGGTTCTGACCGGCGGCTTTTGGATCGGGATGCGTGACCCAGAAAGCAACGCCTGGGCAACCTGAGGTTGGCGGAAAAAACATCTGGTGGTTTGGGACGCGTCGGATCGCAAGGGGAAGCTTTTTGAGATTTGCGACCCCCTACCACCCATGAGGATGGAACCGGACTATTGGCGGGAAAAGCGGGGTGGTAGGAGCGTTTCCCTGGGGCCGGAACCCCCGAACGGGTTGGAGCTCCTTTCGAAGCCTCGGACTTCCAGGAGCTTCCATGGTATCTTGAGGACAGAAATCGATTCCTTTTGGCCCGGTATTTTCCTTGCGTCCTTTGAGAAATGATGGAAAGTTGCAGAGCTGGCGGGAGCTGGATGCGGAGCTGTTTTATCAGAGCTCTCTTTGGGGTCATTATCTTGACTGTTTCTGGGGGTTGTCAGAGTCAGAGACTGCTTCTCTTTCGCCTAGTTAGGGGGTGACTTTTGTTTCCTCTCCCAGACTTTCTTTCTGACGGGATTACGTCTTGCGGCTGTGCTGCGGTGGATTGTTTGACTAATACAAGGGCCTATTTTCCCATGGTTATCGCTATGGTACCCCAAACCCCTTTGGATTTCTTTTTTTTTTTGGTGCCCCTCAATTAAATCCCTCCGATTTTACACGGCGGATCGTGAAGGCTTGTCCACAGTCATGGCACCGAGGGGTCGGGTTCCATGTGGGGTCCACAGGAGCTTCATTTTTTTTTTAAACAGAAGATCGATCTGCCCAAGGGGGCCTCTTTGCCAACCGGTAATTTTTTGTGCATCCACATCCAGCAACACAGTTCCCTTAAGGGCCACTGCCTTCCAGGGAGCTAATCGCTTGGAGAATCCATGCGGACATGCCTCGCGCTTCTGGTCAAGCTGCAAGACTAAGTCATAAGTCATTTGTTGAGCCTTCTAAATCGCTGATTCCAGCGGGCCAAACTTCAAGCTAGAATCTTTGAGAGACTTCCAACATGAGATTCACGACGTTTGTCGAGCTCTTTCGTTGGGGACGCGGCTCGCGATTGGACATCGATCGGCAGGCATTGGACACCTCCCATGATGGGAAGATCAGCCGCTGGGCGTGTCAGAATTGGCGTCAGAAAATAGGGGGTGCTCCGATTGCAAATCGGCTCGTTTGGGGTGGTTTGGGCCAGCTTTCAAAAAAAAAACGGTTCCTTTACGGGGTTTCGGGCTTTGCTGTTGGGGATACCACCTGGGCATTTCTTTTTGGCTCGTCCTTTTGTGTTGTTTTTTTGAAACCAAACCCGGGCACTAACCAAACATGCTTAGCTTCGCCTTTTTGCTTCCCTTTGAAACCAAGCAACAAAAAGGGTCGCCTCAAAAATGGCGTCGCCTGAGACTGGTAGCTGGCGGCTGGGGGGTTCGGGGGCGGGGGGATTTGGGGGACTGGGCTTGGGTTTTCACATAGGGCTGAAAGGTGTGACGGATGGCGGCTTTTGGAAAGCCAGCAGGATCACCCCATTCTCTCGCTTTGGACCTTCAAAAGAAACAGTTTCAGTGGAAATTCACCGGTAGCTTTTATCAACCTTTTAGAGGGGACATCCAGTGACCCCCTGAAGTGGTGACTCATGTCGACATCCAATCGATGCCCTTGCTTGGGCTTCCGAGAAGGCTCAGGCCGTGATCGCGGAGTGGTCGATGCGGAGTGGCGCTCACTCGATTCGTGCTGTGCGGGTCGTTCTCCCTGCTTGGCAGAGGCCCGTCCGTTGCCCTTCCGTTTTTGGGTGAGCAGAGCTGCGCGCGAGACATTTTGCGTGAGAATGCCCGTCGCTTCATTAGGGGACGGGGGGGGGGGTTTGGACGCACGCGCCATGTCCAAAGTCCTTGGGAGAAAAGGCGCAGGCGCAGGTAGCTCCGCAAATCAGCCAAGGGCCCTTTGTGCAGGCACGCGAGCGACCCTCCTCCTCCAGTTTCGGGGGTTCCGCTTGGTTAGCTATTGGATCTTCCAGCCACCTGCTATACAAACCCTTGTAGCCAGCCAGCTTGAACGACAAAGTCAATGGTTTTTTGCAATCGGGTCATCTCCTGAGCATGGACTCGTTTCCCCCCCTTTTTTTTCTTCTTTCTTTTTCTTTCCCGTCTGAGGTGAAGAGGAGTTCCAAATGATGCGGACAGATCCCAACGTGATGGACATCTTCTTTAGGCCTGACTTTTAACCTTTCTTAATGCCGTAGTTGGACAAACAATTGGCTTTGTCTTGAATCATTAGGTGGTTTCACTTAGTTGTAGCCGGAAAACAAATCACACACAATCCCGAGGGTACCAAATGAGAAACAACCCACCTCCCCACATGTGTGCCCCAGACGGGGGAGCATGCCCTTGGAATTCTCTTGTGGGTTGGCAGACTCTACCAGGGTAGCTTGTTCGCATTGTGGAGGGGTCAGGAGACATCAAGAAGCCGCGGCCAGAGAGATTGTTGCTTCGGGATCCCAGTTGCTCGAGCGGCACTTTGGGTGCAGCTTCCATAGGCAACCGAGAAGTCGCAACGACGGTCCTGCAGAACAGTGAATACTCACTTCCTGAGCTTCTGGACTCCTTGGGAAGACCAAACAATGGCCACTCAGTTGTGTCAATGCTACTAGCCCCCCCAGGAAACTGGTTGGCTTTTGATTTTGCTCGAACAAAACAGTGAGGAGTGCCACCTTTTGGGACTTGCCTTTCCCTTAGAGCTTCCTTGGCAGTTGTGAATGGAACCTCACTCAGGGCTTTGGACTGGTCTTCTCAGGGGACATATCTTTGGCGACTGATCTCGATCGATGGCACGCCAAGCTCAGGAATGCCACGTCCCGAGTTTAGGCTGGAACGAGCTCCCCAAAAAAGTAGAATCGGTGTTGGGTTCCGTGCTAATGGGCAGGAGCGTACTTTCTGCGTCAAAGTAGGACCCGTGCTTTTCTCACACCCGAAGCGGGGTGAGCGCGACGTCGCCGGCAGAGCTCCGCAAAAGCAACGTGCCAGGCTGGGGATGGAGGAAGAGGCGATGGTGGAGCGGCTGAACCACATGCAGGCCCACCAACTTTTCGAGTGGCTGGGAGGCTAGGTCCAGCCAGGTGCCCTTGGACCAACTTTTTTGGTTGGGGGGATTCCCGATCCTAAAATCGACTACAGAAAAAAGTTGGTACCAATTATTCTAAGCTCTCAAATCTGCAGGACCTAGGAGGGGTGTCAAACTGCTCCAAGTTGGCCATTGAGAACAACCAGAAGGGGGATTGTCCAAAAGCTTGTGTTTTGCAATCCCGGGACTTTTGCAGGAGTGCAGTAAACGGCCCGACCTGTTCTCAAGTATTACGAATGGCTATAGTCTTCGTGAGAAATCCTGACTGTATGTGTCCTGGCGACCTGTTTCCTAGCCCTTTGCTGGGTTCCTTGGCATGTGGCCAGTTCAAATTTCGGAAAGTCTGGATTCAAAACAAGTGTGGGTGCGTGGTTTTTTGGTTGAGTCTTTTTATTTCGAAAGGGACACCAAAACCTTTTTTATTTTTATTTTTACCAAAACCCACAGTTGGTTGAGGAGTTTTTTTCTTTAAGGAACCCAACACCAACCAGTTTTTCGGGCCCTAAAACACCGACACCCAAGTCAAAAGCTACCACCGACCAGCGCAGCCCTCCGCGGGTGGGGCTCTATGAACTTGATGGCTTTCAGCTTCGTGACAGCCTTTGATTTGTAAGAACATGTTTCCTGGCTCGATGGATCTCTGAGTTTGCAGAGTACATTTTGTTGGCTTGAAGAGCACCATTTCCTGGCATTGGACGTCGGCTTGTTTTCCCTGTGGAGCCAGTGACTTGGTGCCCAGGATGTTGCGAGCTTTTCACTGGTAGGAGTTTTCTATCTGATTTTCCGAATGTTTCGTTTTGACCAGGAATCACATCTGCACTGTGGGCTGATGAACTCCCGCGCGAGGGATGTATGAGCACCCATGAAGAAAGCGACACACCACGTCTGAACTGGTGCGAAGTGGATTTCGTCCATCTGAAGTCAAACAGTATCGGAAGTCTGAGCCGTTTACCCCAGACTTACTCCAGTACACCCTGGTAAGTGCCTTGAATTCTGGACTCGTCCCCTCAAAACACATATGTTGTGTTCCTTGGCTTCCCGTTAAAACAGTAACTAGGTCCCCCAGTAGTGCCCTTTACGTTTTTTGGCGCAGGGTTCCCCTAATACAGACTACAGAAAAAAATCGGGTACCCTTATTCTAAGCTCTCTACTGGAGGACCTAGGCAGCAACTCAGAAAAGACCAGACCCAAAAATCCGTGATTTTTCGACGCGCAGGAGACCATCTTCGCAGGTGCCAAGGACGACGCCGAGGAGTCTGCGGAGCCGCCGAAGAGGCGAACGAAGACCCAAAATCCGGCGCCATGCCGACGAGAGATACACCCGTCCCATTATTAGTGGGGTGTTCCCTCCAAAAGTCATGAATCCCCACTAAAAAAACACCCCCTATTGATCAATCAGGGTTTATTCATCCGGGGTTAACATTGAGCCAGCAAGAGACCACAGGTTTTAGTCCATGTTTCCATCAGGGCAACCCATTTTGTGCACCTATTTTTGGCGGTTTGGATTTGGATTCGAACCCCTTCTCCCTAAGCATTTAGAGGGAAGCTGAGTTTGGCTTGGGTCGAAAGGGAAACACCAGGTGTAAGATTCCCAAAAGTCAGTCAGGCATGGAACCTGCACTGGGCCCCCTTGCGCAAATGGTCTTCCAACCTCTGGTTCCGTGGCTGTTTTAGGGCAAATGTGTTTTGGGGGCTTAAACGGACATTTTCCAGGAATCCGCAATCCATTTTGGGCTCATATTCAGGGCCATAACCCTTGTGCAGCTGGATGGATGCAGACCCTCTCTACAGTTTTTCAGACCAGAACTGATTCCTTCGGCAGTTGGATGGCCCCTCTCGCCCTTTTGCCAGTCAAGAACCTGATCTTTTTGCCCTTTTGTAGTTGGATGGACAAAGATTGGTAGGTTGATTGGTTGACTAGATCCGTTGCCAGACTCAGCTTCCCTTTTGCCGGTTTGGCTTTGGTGTTACCTTCGTTTCCCCGTGGTTCTGAGCCTGGCCCAGCCACCCACAAGCCCACGTGAGGTTGGGTCATGTCCGGCAATTTGGGCGCGACGAGAAAGGGTGTCGGTCTGAATTTAAGCCACAAACCGTCCGGAGGGGTTGGGGGTGGGGGTAGCAAAGTCTCATTTCCCATGTCCATGAATCATGCAACCGCATACTTGGCATGATTGTGGATCCTTTGATTGGGACCGGCATAAGGATTGGTCCACACGCCTTCTTACCTGAGGTAGGGATGGTCATCAACCCGCCAGACTTAAAGGGAGGTGTCATTTGGGCCCAGCCCCGTGGGCGCGCAGGGGCGCGCAGGCGCGGCATTTTTTTTTTGTTTGGGGGGGGGGGCGGAAAAGGGGCAGCAACGGCAGGGTCCAGAGCTTGTCCTTCAACCAGTTCTGCGACCAGGCGGGTTGGGTTGTTGAGGGGGGAGGAGCGGGGGGTTGGGGAGGGGGGTTCGGCGGGGTAGGGGGTTGTCGTGGTTTGTTACTTTAGGTCTTTATTTCTGGCCTCGGCCTCTTTTTCTATTTGTTCGCTTTTTTTGGTGGAATCCGTCCATTTGGGGACGAGAAGAAAGACTTGTCTCCTGAATTTCCAATGCGGAAGTTTGTTCATATTTTGACCGTTCCTCTGTAAGAGAATCCAACCACCGCATTTTAGCTGGGTCAATTGGATCAAGTTTCGCCTCCCAATATCGGGGTTGATGCCTGCAGGTCACTCCCCTTTTTCTCGACCAGGGGTTTTCCAACTGGTTGCCCATATGACTGGGTGCTCTACCGGTGCCTTTTTCAGGGTGTTCCACCGTTGCGTGATTTTGGGGGTCTCAATATTTTGGAACCCAAATGAGGTTCGGTCAACATTGCCTGAGTTGTCCATGGTTCATTTCGGAGGGACATGAACTTCCCCCACACACAGACAAACGAGCCCGGATTTTCCGATGTCCTCCAGGGGACACTTTTAAAGGCTCATATTTACTGGTAAGGAAGCTGATTGTTCGACCGATGCCCCATGCAAATATCTGGGTGCGTCTAATCTTCTTCTCCCGGTTTTTGAAGAGAAGCCACGGGGGAAAATCGCTCATTTCTTCGACTCTTAAAAACAACAAGCACCTCAGCAACAAAACAGTTTCAGGTCCCCGTTTTTAAAAGTCAGAAAGCAACATGCCCCGCTTTCAGGTTTCCCCCCCCCCCCCCAAGAAAAAAAAGCAAAAAAAGAAGCAGCCGCCCGGCTTCCGCGCGTCTCCACGTCCCTCCGCGCGTTTTTTTCTTCGTCTCCCCGCTTTTTTTCGCGTATACCTCGGCCTGGAGGTGATCGAGATGCAGATGGGCAGCGCCGCGGGGGTGCTGGACGTGCAGCTCTTGGCGGCCAAGGTGCGGCAGGAGGACCAGAAGATCCGGCCAGGGCCCCAGGGCCATCCAGGGTCCTGAGCACCTAAAGCGGGAAGTGGCCGGAGACGGAGGGTCGAAGGGACGGGTTTTTTTCTTCTTTCTTCTTGTTCTTCTTGTTCTTCCTGTTTGTGGTTTTTGGTTCTTGTAGAGGGCTACCCCAAACCACCAAACCAATCCAAACTAACATGAGAAGGGGAAGCTGACAAAATGTGTGGCCTTTTTTGGCCCGTGCTTTTCCTGAGTTAGTCCTTTTGGTGGCATGATGTTTAAAGATGACATTGGGACGGTTCTTCGCGTTTGTTTCTGTTGTGGTCTCTTTTGGCTCTCCTTTCCTCTCCCTCAAGGTCTATCTCTATGTCTGTATCTACAACATGTATAGATGGGTATGTATATGTTTTTGCATTTCGCAACAGGGCCTCGAATGATTCACGTCCAAACGGGCAGGCAAATGGGGAGGGGGAGAGTGCGAATGGAGGGAGGAACGGCAATGGCAACGCACACGTGGCTATGAATTGGAATGTTTGGCAACTCCAAAATAGCTGGACATGTGCAAGGCCAAAATATCCTTTTCACTTAGGTTGGCAGGGATGGAAAACGCTCAACAGGGATCCGGTTTCCTTAAGAGGAGCCTTTTTGCGAAATGGCCGCAACTTTCATACGAGCATCTTTCGCACGATCACCAAACCATGTCTTAGGAGCCCTTGCACTCAGCATCGAGCATATCGCAGCAAGCAAGAAATCAGTTTTTGTCGACGCGACAAGTCGACTTCCTCCCAACTCTCCAACCAAAATCCGGTGAGAACTTGATCGGCTCCGCTTTTCTTGGTCTAAGGCTTGCTGTGGCTGGAACGAAGCATTTCTTGGTACCCAGTCGTCCTACCAAGCGATTGACAACAATCTTCAATTTTATTTTATTTATTGCAGAGCAGACTCGCAAAGCCGGAATCTATTCCAGCTTCTTTGCTCTCAGGGTTTCCGCAGTTGGTCTGATTCACTTGCTTGGAATTTTCCGTACAGCGTTTTCGGCCTACTTGGGAGGGTGGTGGATCGTGAAAAGAAACACCAAATCCGTGGTTTGTTTCTGTTGTTTCGTTTGCTTCCCTTTGTCAATGTTTTAGTTGTATATCAAGCATACGCACAGAAAAGTACCTCTCTCGCTCTCTCTCTCTCTCTCTCTCTCTCTTTATGAGTGTGGCTCAAAATTAAACAGGAGGCGTTACGCAGGTTTTGGTCTCCACTTACCAGGGTTCCATTTTGGTACCGGTTGTTTGAGCCACAGCCATATATGTATGCATACATGCAACCTATATCGTATTCTGAGCCCATATCATATTTGCAATATGTATCGTATTCACAGCCTATGTCATGTTGGCAACCGGTATTTACCTCCCATGTTGTCTTTGCAGCTTATCTGACATTACAACCTACACTTTGCTTGCAGCCCAATATCTCTGTAAAACCTAGAAATGCCCCATCTACCGCCCTTGTGCTGCAAACAAAGACACTTCCATCTAAACAGTTTTTTACTCGCCAATGGTATACGGTGTGCCTTCCTGTTTTTTGAGCGCCCCCAATTTTTTGAGATTGGGTCAGGTGTGTGGCCTGGTGACATACCGTGTGATTTGTCTTAAATTGAACATTGAATGGGAGCTTCTTTCCAAATATGGAGTTCACCTCAACTCAAGACAATGTTAATCTCAAGCTAAACATTTAGATACAAATTCCTTCCCAAACATGGGTTGAAATGAAATTCGACTAGATATTTTAAATGAAGTTCAGCAGAGTAGGACAGCTTTGTGGTTTCTATCCCAATTTTTTGGTGTTGTTCTTGACCACTCGAGGTTGTTCCGCGTATCCCAACAACAGTTGTCCAAACAACAGGACCTTTAGAGACCCTTGTGGGCGCAGCTCACGATCTGGAGCCAGGGGTCTTGCATTCTTGGTTTCAACAATGCAGGCCTCACGACCCTTTGTGATTCCCCAGATGGCTGAAAGCTATAGGGGTTCTAACTTCCATTAAAGAGGGGAACGTGATTTGCGAGATTGACGGCTGGGTGCTGGGGGGCGTGCAGTTGGGGTGCTGGTGCAGGTGCTGTTTTGACAACTGGAGGTTTTGAACAATGCCGGCGGAACGACCCTTTGTGATTCCCCAGATGGCTGAAAGCTATAGGGGTTCTAACTTCAAATCAAGAGGAGAAAGTGATTTGCGAGATTGACGGCTGGGTGCTGGGGGGCGTGCAGTTGGGGTGCTGGTGCAGGTGCTGTTTTGACAACTGGAGGTTTTGAACAATGCCGGCGGAACGACCCTTTGTGATTCCCCAGATGGCTGAAAGCTATAGGGGTTCTAACTTCCATTAAAGAGGGGAACGTGATTTGCGAGATTGACGGCTGGGTGCTGGGGGGCGTGCAGTTGGGGTGCTGGTGCAGGTGCTGTTTTGACAACTGGAGGTTTTGAACAATGCCGGCCTCACGACCCTTTGTGATTCCCCAGATAGCTGACAGCTATAGGGGTTCTAACTTCAAATCAAGAGGAGAAAGTGATTTGCGAGATTGACGGCTGGGTGCTGGGGGGCGTGCAGTTGGGGTGCTGGTGCAGGTGCTGTTTTGACAACTGGAGGTTTTGAACAATGCCGGCCTCACGACCCTTTGTGATTCCCCAGATAGCTGACAGCTATAGGGGTTCTAACTTCAAATCAAGAGGAGAAAGTGATTTGCAAGATTGACGGCTGGGTGCTGGGGGGCGTGCAGTTGGGGGTGCTGGTGCAGGTGCTGCTTTGACAACGGCAGGTTTTGAACAATGCCGGCGGAACGACTTTCTTTGTGATTTTTTTGGTGGTTGCGGACGGGAAGCCGAAAGGAGAACCGTTGCGGCGTGGGGGGGTCGAACCAGAGATCCAAATGCCGACTGCTTTGATCGGGTCCCTTGGTTCGCGAGGAAGACGCTGTCGCGCCTGGAGCCGGAGGTCCGTAAAGTGCTGGGCCTGGAGATCCAGGACAGCGAGTGAGTCCAAGGTGTTTTGGCGTCTGGGGCGCGCGTTTGTGTAATGTTGAGCCCGGATTGATATACCACTGTTTATTGATATGGGGGTGTCCCTGGTTTTAGTGGGGATTTATCGCTTTTGGAGGAGAACACCCCCATATAAATAAACAGGGTTTTACGCATGTGGTTGTGGGTCAAAACCGTTTTGCGATCCCATTTTTGGTTGGTAGGGAAATTCACCACCCACTTTAGAACCTATTTTGGTGGGGATTGGGATGTCCACACAAGGGACGATTTGGATTTTGACCCATGGCCATTTGGGTATGTTTATGTGTCCCTTTCTTTGCAAACAGTACCCATTGGGGGTGGCTTTAAACGGAAACTTTGGGGGACGAGTCCCAATTTCGATACACTGATACGCACACACAAACACAAACACAAACACAAACACCCACACACACAAACACACAAACACACAAACACACAAACACACAAACACACAAACACACAAACACACAAACACACAAACACACAAACACACACACAAACACACAAACACACAAACACACAAACACACAAACACAAACACACAAACACACAAACACACAAACACACAAACACACAAACACACAAACACACACACACAAGCACACAAACACACAAACACACAAACACACAAACACACAAACACACAAACACACAAACACACAAACACACAAACACACAAACACACAAACACACAAACACACACACACAAACACATAAAGACAAAACACACAAGCGCACACACAAACACACAAACACACAAAGACACCAATACACACACACACACAAACACACAAAGACACCAACACACAAACACACAAACACACAAACACAACAGACACACACACACACACCACACAAACACAAACACAAACACAAACACAAACACAAACACAAACACAAACACAAACACAAACACAAACACAAACACACACACACACACACACACACACACACACACACACACACA